CCAATTTTCCAAACATATTCTGTAATTCTGTGGTTTGCATCCTCAGAAAACAATGCTGAGTTTGCATGCCAAGACAGATTTACAAGCAGTGTATTTTCACTGTTTGTAGCAATATTTGTGCTAATAAAAATAATGTGTTATACTTGTCCAAAATAGTACATAATAAGGAAGTATTTTCTGTGATGAATAGTTGATGTGCACAATTTAAAAACTGACTTGCAAGTGGGAGAAAAAAAATCAAGATAGTGGAACATTTCATTGAATTATTTATAAAAATTTAAATTTTGGAAGGAGAAAAAAACTGTGGTTCTGTTTATAAGTATAATATGCTCAACTTTACCATGCACTTTTATTCACCCAAGATGGTTGCATTTCTATAATGATGAAGGGATTTCTATAGCTAGCTCTGTCTATGTAGCATTTAGGGATGTAGATGCTCTTTAAATGGAAAATAGTATTGTAATGACTAAAAGCTCTGGTGTGTCTCTGTGTTGTGTAAGATGTTTCTGATCTGTATTTGAAGTTGTGTGCTCTTTTTCTTGAAATCCAGGTTGATGTTAAACCATGCTCCCCTGTTGCTGAAGAATTTTCTGCTTGCTTCCAAAAAGGATTTGCAGTGAAGAAGGTTAAACAAATCAAAGATTTCTTGCGTATTCCTGACACCCAGCCAGGCTGTCCAGACACTATAGGAATTCTCTGACTTTGGATTGTTTTATTTGGAGAGTTTCATTTAGCTTGATGATGCCATTCATATCAAAATGATGCTTAAGAAGCAAGTGGCTCTAGATGGTAAAATAGTATTACTTGCTACACCAGGCCAAAGCCAGCATACTGTCTCTGTAGGTATGTCTGAGCTACTAGCTGAAGCAAGAGCCCAAAAGACAATTAATGTCCATCAAACTCTTGACGTATGTGTTTTCTAGCTACTTTCTGCTGTAATCTGGCTGCATATCAGCATAAGGGCATCGACAGTATGACTCAGAGGAGCACGACTCTTGGTCAGCAGAGAAGGTGACTACACTTTCGGCTCTGAGAATACCCCATACTTGCAAATTAGATGAAGGAGAGCTTGGGCTCACAAAAAAGCAGTTTTTCAGGCTTGAACTTTTCCTCTGAAACTCTATAGAGCTCACTGCTCCAGGGACTCATGCTTTGTTGCCAATGTAGGTATAATCAATACAGCTTTCTTCTTGGGAGATAATAGAACATGTCTTATAATGGAGGTTTTAGGAACCTCACATGCTGATTTGCTGGCTGCCCATGCCCATTTGCTGGCTGCTAACTACAGTTAGTGGGGAAAATCCCAGCAAAGAGAAAGGAATGCAATTGTGCAATTGGGAAGAAAAGCGGTGTTCCTTTCTTTTTCACCCTGTTCTCTGTGTTGCTAATTCAGCCTTTTTACTCATTGTGTCTCTACTATAAACTCAGCAGAATTTAAAACTAGACTTCTTACAGCTGAAAAAATTTCCAATCTTGTTAGTGCATGTGACAAAAAAATTGCTGCAATGTAAGAATTGGCCAAACAGAAAGTAATTCTTTGAGGAGAAAGCATGCATGCGCTGGAGAGAGGCTGTGGTAGACACTACACAGGGCAAATGCCAAGGCTGGGGAGGCTGGACCCAGGAATCTGCATTTTCACGAACTGCAAGAAAAATATTTACAGACCTATGACTCAAAATAAGGTCTCATTCATCATGGGTGAGGACTACAAAAGCATTTTCAGAAGTGACAAAGCCTAGGAACTGCCACTGCAACAACCAGTTGAAGAGAGAGAGCATAAGCCAGTGTTTCCTTCAGTTCTTTGAAGTCAGCCTGTGAATCCTAGTAGACCATTCTGTCCTTTAATAAGTGCAGAGGAAACTGCACTGTTCTCTGTGTTGGCTAGGGTGTTCACTTCTAATAGGTCCCTTAGCATGTAATTTTCCTGCTTGGAAAACTTGGTTTTAAACGAAATGGGTAGAAGATATAATTTGGTTATATATGTGTACACATACCTAGGCACACATATGCGTGCATGCATATAGACACAAATATCCATACATATATATTTGTATATATATGCATGTATATACACACATATATACACACACACAGAGAAATATAAATATATATATACACACACACAGAGTATGAAATTAATCCTCAATTTGGGCGGGGCTCTCTGCCCCACCTAAACCCTAGTGGACAAAGGGCCCTGTGCTGGCCTTCTCCTGCATTGTCCTAACCCTGAAAAGATTTATTGCAGCAGGGTTGATGGGTCAGGCAGGGCTCAGGAGAGATCCAAACATGCAGTTCCAGGAACGGCAGCATATCTTTCTGTCACTGTGTGCATAGAGTTAATAATATCTTCTCATCACTTTCCGTTTCCCTGAATTTCCCACCTAAATTTCCCAGTACATGCCTGTAGGGCCTTTAGGATGTGAAAATAGAGTAAGGTGAGTTTTTAAATAAAAGCAGTGCAGTTGTTTAAAGACTTGGAGTGTAAATTTGATATTATGAACTTTTTGTAGATTTAAACTTATTAGCTGTGCTATCTTACTTCATATTCCTCGCAAGGAGAGTCAGAGCCAGCCGAATGCCTAATTTTGGGTAGAGTTGTTGCTAAGACTATTAACACCTGAAGAAATTCTACTCTCACCAAGAAATGGGACGGCTCTGTCCCAGGTAAGGATCACTTTTCTCCAGTTTGTTAGCAGACAGGTAGGGTTTTGCAATGCAAGGCACTTCCAGGCTGGATCAACCACAGGGGGAATCATCACAGGAACTGGAAGTGCTCTGTCTAAGCAAAGACTTCAGGACCAGCCCAGGGGATGTGTTTAATTATTTGGGAATATACTATGATTCAAAGGAAAAATCATGCCTAAAGAGTGAAATTGCAGAGTGTGGTCCTGTAGCCCTGAAAGGAGACGCAGTTTTGAGGAAGAGATGTGGCAACTGGATCCTGTGCTCAGTGTGGCTTTGCCTTGGTCTTTGTCTCTCTGGTGCTGGCAGAAGACAAGTACAGTCAAACTAGGAACTCCTTTTGTGAACTCTGTGTCTATTTACTCCATGAGATACACAAGGACCAGGACACCAACAGCCCAGGATAATGTATACCTGTGAGCTACCAATCTGCTGTGGACTTCTCAGAGGTCCCCTTTCAGAAAGGATAAGTGAGGGGAGGGATGTCCACCTTCATGATGTGAGCTGCAGGCTCATCGGCTCTGATTGGTGCTCTGTGTGACCTTACCAGCCTCCAGGAAGACCAGGCTACAGCTCATCTGTCAAAGCAGAGATCTGTGTAACACAACATGACCAAAATATGTGCAACCAATACCAGACTGTTGAAACTATTACCCTACCAGTCAGCAGGTCTGCTGGTCAAAGGATCAAATTGGCTGAAGTCTCTCTGTCCATGGGTGTCTAGGGACTAAAAGGCTTCTGTCTTGTGGGCTCCTTCTTGCTATGGTTAAATTTAAAGCACTTAGATAATGCGTCTACACTTATGATGCCCATTATTGCATATTTGTGTACATATGTGGGTCCCTTTTAGTGGTAGAATTGCTGACATATTTGCTAATACTGCTAAATATATGGTTATACATGAGATGTCGCAACCTAGCCACTAAACTCAAGCAATACTAAAGGGGAAAAAATGTTCTTCCATTCCTCATTTTACATGTTAATCATCAAAACCAATGTTTATACCGCTTGCTTTATTTACACTTTTTTTTCCTCACAGTATTTTTAATGCAGAAATTTCAATGGCTAAGACACAAATGTAATTTCCAGTCAGACCAAAGAGTCAGCTTGCATCCAAAGTGGGAGGCCAAACCCCAGATCCAGGAGGTATTCAGCAGAGAGAGCCCTGGAAGAGGCAGGCTCTGTCCTCATCCATATTTCACTGACAGTTGTGTGCTGCTGTGTGCCCAGGTTGCCTTCACATATTGCCTGCTGGCAGGATTTGTAGATGACATTTGGCTTCTGTTTGTATCTTGTAACATAACTGTTTTTTTAAAAAGATGTGGGCAAAGAAACCCTAAATATGATTTCAAATCTCCTGCATGTGTTATAAATAGGAATAAAGATGAAACCCAGCTGCTTAGGCTTAGCCAGGTTAGGGTCAGAATTAGCCCAGGATTAGCAACTTGGTATCTCAAAATGCACAAATGCAAAGTCTGCTATAATAGACAAACTGGGGGAAAGATCCCTTAATTTTTATTTACATTGTTTAGGCATTTGCACAGACATTCTGCCTACTTGCACTTGTACACAAATGAGCAAATATTGAGGGACAGAAAATGATTTTGCGCTTGTAAATTATATTAATTTGGGAAAGAAAAGGCGCAAATGGAAATGATCTATGAGAACAGGATTTTTGCTAACAGACCCAGAGAAATGAAGTGGGGGTCCTTTTGAAAAACCATTGCCATTCGTTCCCTGGTATGTTCACAATGTTTGTTTCAGACCTAGAAATTGCTTAAAAATAAAAGGGCGCTGCTCAGATACAAAACCCCTGGTGTGACTCTGACTCAGTGAAATCCATTGAACCAAGGGGGAAAGGAAAAGAGCCCATTCAGCACTGCGATTTCCACGCCACGGAGGGAATGCAGGGCCTCCAGTGGGAAGCACAGCTGCCTAGACATGTGGTTTCAATATCCGTAGGGTATGCAGCGACCACTGCTGCGCAGCAGCCGTTTGGCTCTACGTTTCTTGCATACTGTCATGGGCTTGGTCGATAAGAGGGGTGGTTTTGCACAGTGTCCAGGGAGGTGTGCGGCAAAGTTGTCTGTAATCAACTTGCTCGGGAGTGGTGCAGATCTGCACACGTGCGCGCTCATATCTCAGTGGGTTTTCTTTGCAGATCCCCTGCAGGCAGTTTGCTCAACTAGTTGAACTGGCTCTTTCTGTCTTGTTTTTTTGGCAAACTAAGAATTTCCTTCCTGATAAAAACGGATGGCGGGCGCCCCGATTGGGTGCCTTGTTGGGGAGGATGTGACATCAGGCACATCTCTCACTTCGCCGGATCACTGGCTGCCTTCCAGAGCAGCCAGGGAGCTGTTTCGTTAAATCCCAACCCAGGTACTCAAGTTTCTGCACAAAGCGCTGCCGGCACCACGTCCCAGTCTGCTGCAAGGTTTGTTTGACTCGTGCACACAGTGCCTGCTTAATAAATTACTCCCACTGCCAGAGGCTCACCAGAGACGATGGAATTTGAACTTATGAGACCAGCCATGAAGTGAAAAAACAGAAATTGGGCAGACGGGGCTGAGATGGATATTGAGGAAACAAATCAAAACGCCAGCAAATCGCAAGGAGTTGGAGGCCAGGCGTCTGCAATGTCTCTATCAAACCCACTGATGAGGGGTAAGTAGTGCTCCTGTCTCACCACCAGCCTTTGTTTCTGCCAGCAGCAGCAAAGGGCAGGATCAGGCTACAGTGGCATGCTCATCCTAACATCCATTGCAGGTCCCACACAATGTCTCCATGCCCTCGCTCTTCGCAAAGGATTTTAATAAGCTATTCATATTTGATACTGAATTTTTAGTTGGGTTTTTTTTTGGTGTATCACAAGGAAGAGTGTCTGATTCTTTATTGTAGTTTGTACAAGCGGAAACAAATGCAGTACTTGAACCACAGCACACTGAAAAAGAAGTTGCAGTGTGACATGTTTGACTTAGATTAGTGCCAGCTGGAAGATCAGCACTGGCTCAGTTCCTCTTTTCTTTTCCTTCCCTTCCTCCTTCCTTTCCTCCTTTCCTTTTTTCTTTTTTCTTTTTTCTTTTTTCTTTTTTCTTTTTTCTTTTTTCTTTTTTCTTTTTTCCTTTTTCTTTTTTCTTTTTTCTTTTTTCTTTTTTCTTTTTTCTTTTTTCTTTTTTCTTTTTTCTTTTTTCTTTTTTCTTTTTTCTTTTTTCTTTTTTCCTATTTTTCTATTTTTCTATTTTCTTTTTTCTATTTTCCTATTTTTTCTTTTTCCCTTATTCTTTTTCTTTCTTTTTCTTTTTCTTTTTCTTTTTCTTTTTCTTCTTTTCCTTTTTATTTTCCTTTTTATTTTCCTTTTTTTCTTTTTCTTTTCCTTTTTATTTTCCTTTTTTTCTTTTTCTTTTTTCTTTTTCTTTTTTTTCCCTTTACTTATTTTTGTTTTCTGAAATAAGAGAGCAGACCCAAGTGTTGTTGCCCAGTTTGAGCCACCAACCCTATTGGGTTCTGCTGCAATGGCCAGGGCATGGTGGTGAGTTGTGACCAATGCCGTTATTCCAACAAATGGCCTCCTCACTCTGATCATTGCTCTGTTGTCTAGCCCAGAGCCGTTGAAAATATGACATGGTGACAGAAGACAAGTAATTTAACTTTACACAACAGTTTAGCTAGGCATGTTCCCTGTAGCTCTGTTTTTCAGCTCATGGTGAATGCAGAGAGAATGAGATAAATTAGGATAACATGAGTTTACACTGTCCTGCCTCCTTTCCTGGGCTGCTCAGGACATTTCCATTCATACCAAGCAGAAAAATAAGACCCTAAAACTACAGTGCAAAGATGATCAGTACATCTGCCAGGTTGTCTGCCTCTCATGCATGTCATGTATGTACATACTGAGGCTGGGGTGGGAGGGAAGGGACGGCGATGTTATTAATAGTGTTAATGACAGTATGATCCGAACCAGGTCTGCACTGGAGATGAGCTTCAGTAAAATGGAGGCTGGGATGAGGGGAGCCCACATGCTGCACTGCTGCACACAGATTATTTGGTGCTTTGAAAATCAGAGTTCAGTCCATTCCTCTTGTGTCTGTCTGCTCCTTACCAGAGCCAATAAACTCTGCTGGCAATGTACAGAAGGAATGTATTTGGCTCTGGTTACATATATCACAGACTTCAGGGGAAAGCCTTAGAATATGAAAAATACCATTCATAATTCTGTTATATATAATGTCAGAGGCATATATGTGTATGCAAATGTATATGCAAGAGCATACCTCTGACAAAAGGATTTCAAAGTCCCTTGCGAGCTGCACTGTATATGACCACCACAGGGGGAACCAGCCTAAGGACAGGCACGGAGTGTACAACACCCTCCACGTGGTCAGAGGCCAGAAAAAGTGACTTTAATCCACCACCAGAATAATGAGTGCTGTTCTAGAAAGGTCCTGTGAATGCCCTGTTTCCCAGGTCAGGGTTTGCATGTTTGTGTGGTTATTGCTATAAGGTTCCCTCTGTATACACCACCCTGTCAGCATTCATATGCCAGTGGTCAAATATGACCAGAGGTTTAATATAGTTGGGATTTTCAGTGGTGAAAGGGGAGCTAGGTGAGTGCCACTGAAAGCTGGTGGGTTTTGAATGTCTAGATGCTGAAGCCACTGAGGTCTGATTCAGCTTGCCTGTGGACTAAGGTATAGGTAAATTTCAAATTTGGATAAACAGTCTCGTTCCTCTGTGAAAGAACAGTTGTACATATTTTTGGCAATCAGAAATCCTTATTCCTGTGGTGATACATTCAGTGAACACAGCTGTGCCACCCACATACACCAGTCTTGCTCCTTCACAGGCACTCTGACGTGCAGTATTTCGAGGACTTTCCCCAAAGTCACTATTTCAGGATTTTACAAGTCCATGGCCAGTTAGCATTGACATTTGCTTAGGCTTTAATCAAAAGCCTGTATGAGGTATAAATATCGATGATTCGTATTACTGACAGCATGCCTTCTGTGCTGTGCAGAATGAGGGAGTGAGTCCCCTGAGGTCCACTGCAGCCTCTCTCCTTGTCCAGGGGAGAAGCACAATCTCCAGCCTGGAGCAGGCAGAAAATAGAAACTTCGTTTATTTGCCAGAACATAATGCCCTGTGTACAGGAACTGGGGAAATATGCCTTCCCTCATAGGGATCTTGCCTCCTCAGCATTGCTTCAGGGTGGAGGTGTTTGCTGCAGACAGAGCTAGGGCAGGAGAGACGGCAGCCTGGGGTAATGCTGTTCATGGCAGTAGATTTGGAAGTATGCCATGGCAGTTAGTTATCAGACACAGCCTTTAAACCCTCTTTTCCCAATGTATCCAAGGCTGGTGTGAAGATAATACAGGCCTTCGCTTCCATGTAGACAAAAGCCTTAGTTCCTCTCAGTACAGAATTTCCAGCAGGATTACAATGTGTTGGCACAAACCTTATTTTATTTTTCACTGACATTCATTTTTGATGCTTTAATTGTTGTTAAGACTTGGCAAAATTGCAAGCTAATGGCCAGTCCATAGATGTGGTCTGATCTGGATCTTTTTTAAGAGTCTTAGTAAAAAAACCTGCTTTTTCTCAACCAAGCACTAAGTGGATAAATTCTCACATGGGTGTGATGGGATGACCATGCACCTCTCTCTTTGTCACCAGAATGCTGACACAATGATACAGTAACTTGGTATTTTTGCACAAAACCCCGCCTGTATTTGTGTGACCAAAAAAAGATCAAGCCGCAGCTCAGAAAACTTGTTCTTCAATCTAGATTTTTAGAATTACTATAAACATGCCTCCCTTGCAATTCATGCAGATTGGGCAATGGCATTGGTTTCTGAATAGGAAAATGAAAGGCCTTTCACAGAGCCTGGGTACACAATCAGTGGTATCACAGACAGGATCAGCAAGAACAACAGCATGGTCAGATAAGCATCATTTGACACACATCACTTAAAGCAAAGCTATTATAGTCAATTAATAATACTGTGCTTCAATAATTGTAGCATAGTTTGGCTATCCTTATGAGACCAGAATCATGGCTTCTAGAAATGGCTGTCCATTTGCTAAAGCCAAACTTGCTGGAATTACGTGTTTGTTGTGGGACATAGCCCATGGAACATAGAAGGAGGCAGGCACAGCTCAAATGAGGCCAATAACAAAGAATACAATTTTCTTTAAAAACTCATTGACTTACATTACTCAGTGTTGTCCAGCTGACAAGAACTATAAATCTCTAGCTGACTTTTTGCTGCCACTATGTCAGTAAAAGTCACACCCCTACCTACCATAGATATGCAGGCAAACTTCTGTGTGTGATAGACAACACATTTCAGATACTACCATCTTCAGGTCAGATTTACCCAGTGCAGAATTTTTCAAGCACAAAACCATTGTGCATCTCAATGTACTAGATAGTCTCTTGTTTATAGTTGATGTTCTTTATTGAGCATGCTTGAAGATGAGAGGGCAATAGTCCGACAGGCTGGGAGATGTCTGACACGGTTGGGTATCATCCTGTTCCAGCACACTGTGGTATAGCTAGAAGGGGCAGGATATTGGTTGTGAGGGGTTCAGCTCTTCCATGCATATTCATACGTCAGACAAGGTCTGTGGATCTTGCACAAGGACTGACATCATCAGCTAATCTATAAAAATATTTTACAGAATTATAGTGACACATGAAGTTTCATTGCTGAAGGAAGACTTATTATTGTTAAGTATCCTATTCCACGCACATGACCTAGTATAGTCCCTGAAAACCTCATCAACTTATCCAATTGGTCATTGGGGTTTACTCTGTATTTAGCAGAATGAGAGTGGGTTATCTCCAGAGAGCAGCAAAATGTTTCCAAAAGAAGCTGGATGGAAAGCCCTCTGGAAATACTTCTCTTCCTTCCCAGGGGGAATCTGGACTATTGACACAGACCAGACACTGGGTTTTGAGGCAATGAATACTGAAGGAGGTAAATGTCTCCCAGAGGGATTATTGCTGACAACTGGCTCTGAGCCATAAAATCTGTGATACTGAAGATCCTTTCCTAGTAATATTTGTATGGTTCTCAGCACTAAGCTAGTTTGTTTCGCTATATTAAAATAAAGAACAGATGCAGCAACTTAAGAAGAGAAACATAAAAATCATTAGCAGTAAGTATTTCCTCAGACCTTTATGTTACGCAGCATAACTGAGGAAAGATAGTCATGTCTTGTAAAATGCATCAAATAATGTTTGTGCCTGGCAAAAAGATCTTTCAGAAAAGCTCTCTACAAGACTTGACAGATTCGATACCAAATTTAACCCTAAGTATTCCCCCGTATAACACTTTGATCCAGATGAAGCTATGCTGACTCATTTCCAGTAATTATTTTTGGCATGTGGTATTTTCCTGAACATCAGGCTTTATATACCAAGATTACTCGGGAACACTAGTTAAAATTCAGTTTCTGGCACGGACCTTTCGTGCCTCCTGATCCATCTGGCAAGGTGACCTGAAGTCAATTTTTTACATAAGACCTTATAAGAGCAAATATGAATCAGTTTACTTTATATGGAAAATTAAAGTATCAGTGCATTTATTGCAGAAGTAAGAACAGTTTCTCTGTGGCCTATTTCACTACTCACAGGCTGGGCCTGCATCTTCACTGCCATGCAGTTTCTGTCCCGTCACTTCAGCTGTCCCTGTAGGCTGAGGCAGACCCTTCCTTTGTGCTTCCCTCCATACATGCTGTCCTCACGTTGGGGTTTCAAGAACACAGAGAATACAGCTGTTACTTAAAATGCACCGCTGCACAGGCTAACACCAAACACTGAAAATTGAGAGGTAAAGTCAACAAGTCACACAGCTTATCTACCTGTACTTTGGTACCTTCTCTCATTAGGCATTGTTTACTCTAGCCCATCTCTGAGCAGGGGTAAATGACTGAGCAGCTGTACCCTCTTCAAAACATAGTCCTTCTGACCATATCGTAAAGTGCAATGAGCTTGTGAAAACAAAGGCACTGGAAATAATTTACAGGAAAGGACAAGCTCAGACAAAGCATGGTGATGTTCTGCAAATCCCTCTCATCTTCTGAAGGGGAACGCTCAGCTGCTCAGCACCAACATGGGATGAGTTAAAAACATAGCCAGAGGGAAGCCATCCTCTCCTCTCACTCCCTCCTGGCAGCTGCTCCAAGGAAAGTTTGGCAGCTCATCTGATACATAAGAGAGGTTTACTGGGGTCACCCAGATGAAGTAAAAAACACTGATGAAACAGTCCATGGAGTTGTTACCCTTTCCCCTGTCTTTATCTTTATACAGACTTTGTTTCAGACTGGTCTCCTTTACACGATGCTTCTATCCATGGTCGTCTGCTTGCTCTGAAGAAACTCATCAAACAGGTACCCCTCTGCAGGGCTTATATGATCTCTACTGGGTTTGTTCGGTTGTTGAATGCAGTCTATTGCTTTACTGTGAAACTTCAAGGGTGGGGAAATCATGTTGACCAGAATGCAGTGAAATCTGCATGTAACACCTTTTGTTTTCTACAACCGGTTTGTCATCTAATGCAAGCTCTGTGCATTAAACTGATGATATATCAAAATATCCTGGGTCATATTTTAGTTTTGGTGCAGGTAATGGGATTCTGGTCTCAGGGATCTCCAGGTGGCTGCAGGTCCTCCACCTGTGAGCAGTGTTTGGTGCCCCAGCTTGGGGGGACAGCTCAAGATCCAGGCAAGGCTCTAGTTGAGGCTTCAATTCAGCCACCCACACATCTGTTTCTGAAATTCCTGAGGGTACCTGAGGCCCCATGTTATTCATAGCGTAGTAGAAATAAAATTATGTTGAGTTCCTAAAAGGACATCTATATTGTACCATCTTGACAGTCCACTGCCTACAGCTTTCTGTGCTGATCAGCAGTGTGTAGAAGGCATGACCTCTGGTACGCTGTGCCAGTATCCACTCCAGCCAAAGCATCACAGCCTCTTTCTCTGCTTACCTACTGAGATGAGCAACTCCAGGCAGTTGAGGAATGTGTGGTTACATAAAGATTTAGGGGTCATAATAGAAAAGGTTGGGGTTTTTTGTTTGTATGGGGGTTTTGGTAGTTGGTTGGAATTAAATTTTCTATGCATTCACCAGGGGAGTGATGTGAACCTTGTCACAGCAGACCAGGTGTCTCCTCTCCATGAAGCCTGCCTAGGTGGTCATGCTGCTTGTGCCAGTGTCCTATTAAAACATGGTGCTCAGGTGAGTGCATGGCAGACAGACCATTGTCTCCAGTGTTGTAGTACATTGTATCATCACATTTTAATACTAATTGATGTACTATTTCACAGCAGCGTATCACTGTGACATGCACTTTGTAGTTAACTCTGTTTAAAGTACGTATGTTATGAAATGCATTTCCTAAAAAGCAATCAGTAAAAGCACAGATATAAACAGTTATTATTGTTCTTGAGATGAAGGTGCAATGTTCTCATCACTTACTGAAAGATGAGGGCAAGATCCTCTTGCAAAGGGTTTTTGTAATCCTGCAGCAGTTAAGGGTGCATTTTATTTTCTGACTCTAATCCTGTTGGTGTCAATATGCAGAGGCGTAGGATTGTTAGGATCAACTGACAACAAATTGGGAAGAAAATGGAAACAACATGCAAGTACAATGCTGAAATGGGCATGTCTCATGGCCTCTACTTTTCGAGCTAATGTTGAAATTAGAGAATGAGAAAATTAACTCACTATGTATATATTACCTTTCAGTTTAATTTTTTTTAAAAGAGGGAGCTGCACTCTTTCATTTAAGAATGGACCTTTTCACAGGGCAATGAGCAGGTGAGTTTCAGCTGAGAAAACTGAGAAATGGGCACACATTTGACTCGGTAACTTGGTAGCTCCTGAGAGACCCCAGAGCGGTAAGGTTAGACATTTGTTTGCATGAGGAGAGACTTGGGGACAATTTTAAAAAATATTTGTACTGATCTTTTAATAAAAACTTATAATCCTCAGAAGCAGCAGACATTTTTTGCAAGGAATTAAACAAAAAGTATTAAGAACTATTTTCTGGTGAGAAACTGGAAAAAATTAATCTATTCTGAAATGCTGAGAAGACAAACAAAAAGCCTGATTGTGTGTTTGGTTTTTTTTCCCCCCACAGGTGAATGGAGTTACTGTTGACTGGCACACTCCATTGTTCAGTGCATGTGTCAGTGGTAGTGTGGCTTGCTTGAATTTATTGGTGCAGCATGGAGCCAGCCTACACCCGCCCTGTGACTTGGCATCCCCCATCCATGAAGCTGCTAAGAGAGGTAACCTCATGAGCATCGGCACCCCTCTCCATGTTACAAGCAACATGTTGAAGTAGAAAAGAGAGATAAAGAAGATCATTTTCATGATCTGGGTCATGTGAAATACCTTCCTAGTTTGTCTCATCATGAGTGGTTCAGTTCCTCCCATTTTGGTGCTTACTGAGGGCAGCTCAGATGGGCTCCTGGGGCCTCTGAGTTTGTGTAGTGACACCTGGAAGGGGTTTCATTGTCCAAGTCAGTTGCCTAAAATGTAGACATCTGAGGGAGTTGTCTGTCTATCTTCAAAAGTAGTGGAGAGAAACATAGCGTGATTCATCTCATCTTTGGTAGACATCTGAAATGAGTCAGATAAAATGTGAGAGCCTTAGCCTGTTTTGCTAACCATGGCTATGCAACTCCTGTTTTCCAGGTTTTCTCTTGACAAAACATTGAATCTTTGCCAAATTACACTGCTGCAAATGAGAATTTGCTGAAAAAATGCCTGAACTGCGAGTTGACTCTTCCTTTATTCCTTTTAAGGTCATGTGCAATGTGTTGAATTCCTTGCATTGCATGGAGTAAACATAGATCACAACATCAAGCATCTGGGTACTCCACTTTACATAGCTTGTGAGAACCAGCAAATGAACTGTGCCAAGAAGCTCCTTGAGTCAGGTAAAAAGAAAAATAAAAGATGGTGTACTTTTGTTTCCTGCAACATCTATCTTTGGATTTTCTTTGCATCAAAGATTTATAGAAGCTCCTGCTTTGGGACCTGGAGATGTTACACTCTTAATGGCAGCCCTTGGTTAACTGGGGGAGCAGGGTAACCAGGGTCTTCTTGACTCAGGAACCCAGCTTTACATCTCCCAACAAAATGATAGATGAACCTGGATTTTATACAGCTAGTGGTACCTGGAACAAACACCATCCTTTCCAGTGTCTGTGCCTGTGGTGCTGCGGTTATTTGAAGTGGATAGGAGAAAAATTTCCTTTTCTTCTTTTCCTCCCTCTTTACTGAAAACAGTCAACTCAATCATTTTTACCTAGTATTTCTACAAAATCATTCCCACTGAGTTCGTAACAACTTTGAAACATTTCCAACACAGAAAAAAACATTCAGCACTATATACTTTGCATCAAAGAAACTTAGCTATAAATCTAAGCACTTGGATTATACAAGACCATTTCTTGTTATCTACAGTAGTGCATCTCTTCCAACAAAAAAGGCCATATAATCTTATGTAGCCACACAGCTAGTACAAAAATGACAGGTCAACAAAGCTGCTTTGGAAAGAACAAGCAAACATCATGTAGATCACCCTATGCACTATTTAGCACAGTGACCTTTTTAAGAAGAAGTAAAATACAAATTAATCTAAATATTAAATGTTTGACTAATATTTTTTGTTTTCTCTCATTTCATTTTTTACTGCTTTCTATGTATGACAATGTGTACTATAAAACCATTGCAAAGCATTTTTAATTAGTCCTGCAGCTCACCCCTGTTAGAGTGTTTTAAGAGCCATTAGCCCAGGGTAATGGATGAGGGAACATTCATCAGGGGCATTTGCTTATATCCTCCTCTACCAAGGGCCTCTAGAACTTCTGCATCCTCACATTTTTCCCCCAACAAATACTTTGGTATTTGGAAACCCCACTGGCTTAACCCTCTGGTACAGAGCAGGTTGAAACCCTGCATGTATTTTAAGGGAATGAGGCACTGGTATGGGAGCAAAGGTGGGCTGTAGGTGGAACTACATCTTTGTCCTGCTTCAAGATATCCATGGACTAAGAATGAAGGTCTTCCTCATGCACCGTTCCTTTGGGTTAATTTTCTTAGTCACAACCCAACTCTTCCTCAGCCAGTACGAGTTATGGATGTGCAAACTGTAGTATGAACCCCAGCATAAGGAAATCCACCACTGGATGGATGCTACAGCATTTACGGATTATTCAGAGAAATAGCAGCTAGTGTAGGAAATAGAAGTAGGATACTGTATAGTTGTTATTCGTTGTCATTATTCTTTGTCATCTCTTGGTTGTCAGGAGCAAATGTGAACAGTGGCAAGGGCCTGGACTCCCCTCTGCACGTGGCTGCCAGGAATTGCAATGCAGAGCTGGTGTCGCTGCTGATTGACTTCGGAGCAGACATTTGGGTGAAGAATGCCGAAAGCAAGAGGCCAATGGAGCTGGTCCCACCTGGCAGCCCTGTGGGCCGACTCTTCCTGCAGAAAGAAGGTGCCCCTTAGTGCTTGTTTTATTCATTCACTCAGGATTCATTAGGGAAAAACCACACAAATGGCTACAAAAGGCTATGCTATTCCATGATACAAGTGTTACAAAACTGAGATAATTAAGCCTACCTCTGTTTGCTGACATATGGACACTATGTTTCATGGTGTCAGAATATAGTGGTGCACTAATAGGCATAATGGTAACAACAATAGCCCCATCTTTCAGCCTTTGCTTGGGGAAGCAATCATATTGAGCCTGCAATATAATGCGAAATAGAGTTTAGAGTGATAAAAGAAGCAAACGGTCCTTAGAAATTATTTGTGGTTTTTTTTTCTGATTACCTAAAGCACTGAAGTCAGTGGGATTCTTTCAGTTCCCTTGTTCCTGAGTGTTGTCTGAAGCGTGCCAACAAATAGAGGCAGAAAAATCACCTCTGATGGGAGTTGGGACTAGCTGGTGAGTGCTACGACAGGGATCTTTGGTTATACAGTATATGTTGACAGTTTGGTATGTGTCAAATACTGGTTTTAGCATAAATGCTAAATTTCAACCAGAAAATTTTAATATATGTGTTACTGAAAAAATAGTGTATTGAAAGATTCTTCCAGTTCTTTGCCCTTTACTTTTATTGTTGGGTCAAGTTCTTACGTAGGTGCAGAAGTATCTAAAAATGAAAGACTCTATATTGGTCTTTTTGTGAGGACTTAGGAAAATTGCATAAGAATGATACAATTATATACATATAATTATTATATATT